ACTTTTTGTCACTCGCGATACACCGAAATTGCGAACTATAATTATGAAAATTCCACAAAATGACACCATTTTCTTTGCGAATAAAAAAAACTATCAACAATTTTTGCCCGCTTAACGTATTGTTGACAGACGCAGTGTTGTACTTTAAAAAAGTGATGCCATATCATGTTCAAAAATACTAGGTAGGTTCACATCACACTAAAAGTCAGCTTTGTATTTATGAAAGTGTTTCTCACGATAAAATGAAGGACATTAAAAAAGATAACGATTTTTTTTAATTTAAATTGATTACTTATTTACTTATGTACCGTTTAGTACATTTCGTACTGTTTTATTACGAATTTCGAAAAAACACTGCCTTATCGACAACCTTCAGTCCACTCACACAAAGTACCAAGGTTATAGGTCCAGCCGTAGAAGTTTTTTTGATCTCACCAAGTATCCGATATGCCAAATTATTAACACATAGTCGAAAAAATCGTTTAAAAACTTAATTATTCCGAAAATGGGGCAAGAGTTTTGTTTAAAACGTCCCTCCAGTACCCGGGAATGTCACATTACAGGCACCACAATGGAAAAATGGACCTAAAATACTGACAATGTGCAAATATTTAGATGGAAGATTCGACACCCAATTCGGTAAATACCAAATAATGGGCAGCACCATCAGTTAAAAAGTTGGCCGATATTGATAATTTTTAGTAGAGAGATGTAAGCCAATTTGGTGGAAAAATCTTACGTAAAAGCATCATAACATCAAATATTGGGGGTAGTGTTACATGGAGCCGTTAAAGTGGACCAATATTGATAATTTTTTGTAGGAAGATTTAGTACGAAGTGAGTTACAATCAATACCAAGTTACAGTCAAGATTATATATACGTTATGGGTCAATAATACAAGGTAGGGCAGCATAAGTTGAATAACAACCAGTAAGGAAAGTTCAAAAGTCGGACGAGGCCAACTATATGATACCCTTCACCAATTTGGTTACATACAAGATATGCTCATATGTACAATATCCTTTTTATAGAATAGACATAGCATCTTTGGAGGACCATTGAAATGGAATTGGGCGAAATTACCTGTGTGCATAGATATTTGAACTAAATTAAAACAACCCATACACATACCAATCAGAAATTTATGAAAAATTGAATGTCAATGCTCCATTTACATAAAATCGGAGGAAACTATATATGGGAGCTATATCTTAATCTGAACCGATTCCAACAAATCTTTGCATACATCAATCTGGACCTGATTCAGAACTCTGTGCAAATTATTGTCCCAATCGGACCAGTATTGGCAGTATGGTGCTCCATATACATAAAATCGGACGAAACTATATATGGGAGCTACATCTAAATCTGAACCGATTCCAACAAAACTTCGCATACATAAATCTAGACCTAATTTAGTACGCTTTGCAAAATTTTGTCTCAATCGGACAAATATTGGCAGTTTGGTTAACCTTTTACATAAAATCGGACGAAACTATATATGGGAGCAAAATCTAAATTTGAACCGATTTTGGATTTGATGAAACAAGCCACCTTGAAAAAAAAATTGTATTCATAATCTAAACGATTCAAAATATAATTTAAATCCTTTATGTGTGAACTCCCCTAATTACATTGTCAGACTGTATGACAATTTATTGTCAGACAAAATCCCATTGACAACAAATACAACTCTGCGATTGTGATGAAGCTTTTGCAAAAAGCGCCAAAATTGTTAGTTTCCTTTCGCGTAACAAGACAAACGTATCGTTTCGTTTAACAATTTTAGATTTTTGCAAAAATCGCTAAGAAATTCCGGGTATCGCGAGTGTTTAAAGTGTTTATCGGACAGAGCAATTGCCATATTCGAAATAAAATATGAAATTTGTGTGAAAAAGTGTATTATAATTCAAATAAAAATAAATTTATGGCTAGCTGGCATTGGAAGGTTTGGTTGAAGGAAAGGAATGAAAAAAAATGCACAAAAAATGTGTGTTAATTGGAATCGCAAATGTTTTGGAAATGTTCTTCTGCTAATTCAAAATATATGTTCGTTGAAGGAGGAAATTGGCTGTGGCCAGCAATTTGCCAATTGGTGTCTTCAGAAAAGTCCAATACACCAATTCTAATTGGAAGTGATCAGAATTTTGCCAAACGCAGCAGTTGCATTTCGTCGGTGCGTGTGCGTGTGTGCGAGTGCATTGGTTGATCATGCTCGGTTCGGTACATTGACGCGTTCAAACATGTAATGTGAAATTGTGAAACGTAAAAGAATTGTTTTTTTTTTATTTGCAATGACTGTGACTTTTAAATCCTTCGTTACTCCTCACAGAGAGTGGACAAATAAGACAATACTCTTCAATTTATAGCGAAAAAAAACGATTGCAATCATATTAAAAGATAAATTAATTGAGAAAAGAAGTTTGTAAGATAATATTTCGATTTGCATATTGACCGAAAAAATGCATAACTAATGAAGTTGTAATTGAAATAATTTTAAGCCAAATAGAAGAACTAGAACTATTAGAAAAGAAATTGAATGCCATTTAGAAAAGTGTAGTGTGTAAATTGGAAAATATATAGTGTCGTATTTTGTCGTTGACCCGGGTCATGAATCGGAATATTTGATGAATGGAACATATCAAGTTTATAGGTTAGTGCGTAAATATATAAATTTGTTGTCGTCGCGAGTCGTGATATACGGATTCGTCGAGAAAAATAGTGGATTTTTCGGAATGGAAATATGAATGGAAATATCAAGTTTATAGGTGAGTTAAATTTTGTTTGGATATTTGTTGTATATTTATTTTTTTCAGATAGAGGTGCATTCTGACATTAGTTTCTGACAAATGACCCTTTTTCGGAGGTATGCTCTCTAATCTTTAAATTTATTTTATTTTGAATGTCTTAGTATCAATTCTGACTTGTACTCAACTTCATTATGCTGCTTCCAAATAACTCCCAAAGAAGAGAGCTGAAAAGAATCCACTGACCCATAACTTAAACCGCAATAGTTAGTTTTTAGAGGGACGATTTCTTACCCCATGAATACCCTAATTAAAATTTCAGTCAATTCGGTTTAAAAATGTACACAAAAACCCTAAATAATCCTATACTCCACAGTGATCTTAAATCAAAATTTCGTGATTTCAACTCTATCGCTTCACCCACAATTTAAATTGTACCAAATTTAGTACACATTAGTACAAATTGTAAAACTTCCTACATATTTCAATCTTACACCTCAACAGTGATCCTGACTCCAAATTGCATGATTCTAGCTCTATTGGTTCACCTAAAATTGAAATTGTACCAAATTTAGTACACATAAGTATTAATTTGTTAAACTGAATCCTGACCCTAATCCTACACCCCCACAATGATCCTGATTCCAAATTTCATTGTTCCCGCTCTATCGGTTCACCCAAATCCAAACTGTACCGATTATAGTACGATTTAATACTTTCGTACACGTAACAAATTTCCAAAACTACGTAATGTTAATTTCAGTTTTCAGCATTCCAGCTCGATTTGTATCTCCAAATTAAATTTGTACTAAATATAGTACCATATAGTACTTTTCGTACACATGGTTTCAAAACCATCTCCTTAAATAGACCCTACATCTGAACCCTTATTCGCATTCCAAAATTTCAAGTCTTTAGCTCTATCCATTCACATGCTACGAAATTGTACCAAATTTAGTACATTTTAGTACTTTTCGCATAGTTATAGTTCGAATGTCCAATTGAACCCCTTTGCTATATCTATTCCACACTCCATCAGTGACCCTCATTTAAAATTTAAGAGTTTTAGCTCCACCGGTTCGCCAAATATCATCACATTTAATATATACCATTCTAGCACGAATTTCCAAAAACCCAGCCTTATCTGTCACCTTTGGACCATGAATGGCCCTCACCCAAAATTTCAATATTGTAAGCTTAAGCCGTTTCCTCTGGACGTTGATGAATCATTAAGTCAGCCAGTCAATCACTTTACTCTTTTATTAGTATAGATTACAATAGTGCAGATTTCCCTATCATGTCTTCGTAATTTCTTGACCCACATGAAACATTTTAAGTTATAACTTTAATTGTTTCTCTAATTATATTATTTAATACTTTATAGTCAATTTTTGTACGAATATTAAACAATCGCATAATTTTGAATGTTTGGATTTTCAACCTCAATTCAATTTTCCTAAGAAGTATCCTTAAGGAAATTCTCAGACATCTTTCCAAAAGCCCAGGATTTTTTAACCAATAAAATATTAAGTGGTTTTTGAAGCATATACGGCTATATTAGCTTGGTTTCCAAAATATGACATAAATTAAAATTAAATTATTCAGTTTTTGGTTTAGAAAAAACGAGTGTTTAATATAGTATTTATTTGTTTTAAATTATCAAAAAAGATTGATGATTGCTACAATATACATTTTATAAATAGAGGTTTGGTTTGCTCTGTTATTTTTTAAATGATATATAAAGTTCATTTTTTATTGTTGCCTTTGTTAAATCGAAAATTTTAAGTTTTCCAATATACATTTTTTTCGTTTTGTTGTTAGCCATTTTCCATGAAAAAATAAACACAATTGTTTGTTGATTACTAATGCTGCTCTACGAATAATTAAGACCACAGAAAAAATTACTATTGTTTGCTTTTTTAGCAAAAAACAAAAACATAATACAAATTTACTTGATTCGTGTTGGAAAAACAAGTAAATTCTTTTATTATTATTAAAAATGAAAAACAAATAAAGGTTTGAGTTGGCATCACTTTTCTTTTCGTTTTCCTTTTTTGTTTTCTTCTTACTACTATTAAAGATTTGTAAAAACCAAATCTTTTTTTGTAAATGATTAAGGAAAGAAAGATTTGTAACCTAAAAACTAAAAAAAATAAAAAGGAAAGGAAAAAATATAAAAAAGGAGAATCAAAAGAAGAAACAAATGGTGATAATGGCCTATTAAAAACTTAAAACGAATAAGAAGCAGAAGACTAAGAGACCAGAAACTCATAAGGCTCCAGGTTTTAATGAGAATGAAAGTTTTGGTCGTGAATTGTTTTTCCCTAAAATGACTTTTTGTTCCTCTTTAACACGTTTCTCTTGCTCCTTACGCATACGCTGGCGTTCCTCGTCCATGAGACGTTGCTCTTCAATGATGGCCAAACGTTCTTCAGCCTGAAAAAAATCATTAAATAATTAAATTTTGTTAAAAAAAATATTTTATTTTTTATACTTACCAATTTGCGCTGGGCTTCTTCAATTTTCCGATTGTTTTCAGCCAAAATTTCTTCTAGCTCCTCACGTTTTTTCTTTTCCTCTTCCTATAAATTAGGGAAATAATATGGAAATGTTATTAAAAAACGTATGTGGTATTTAAAAGAAACGAAAACGTATAAAATTAAAAACTAAATTTGTGATTTAGAATTTAAATAGAAACAAAAAATTGATTTATTTCTTTTCATTTTTCTTTTTTTTTTTTTTTTTGAACGGAATAAAACAATTTTCATTTTAGGAAATTGGTATTTTTGCTTTTCTTTAACATTTGAGAAGTGCTCTGGCTGCTCGAATGGCAGTTGGCTGGCTGTTACTAGTTATAATATATATACATACATACACATATAAATATGTAATTGTTTAAAAAAGATGGTGGATACTTAACACTAAAAAAATTTTGATTTTTGTTTTAAGAGTTCATTTTTTTTGATGATGGCCTTCTTCATGGCTTTGCCATGGATGAGTGTTTATGGTTTTTTTGTTTTCTTAAAATCCATTTAAATTTGAAAATTTTTACTTACAATTATTTTTTATGAACACCGCGCGTTTCCAATACTTTTTTGCATTTTATATCAAAATATGTATATATGTACAACATGTTATTAAAAAATTTGACTCTAAAAACATGTTATAGCATAACAATAACAACAACATTAATTAACAAGAACAAAACATTGCAACAATCGGTCGTTTGAACTTAAAAAAATATATTAGATATACAATCTTCATTGAAATGATCTAAGAGCTGAGTGAGATGTTGTGCGAAAGTTAAGATGGAGTTTTTTTCTGTTGCCTTGAGGAAAATCACTTAATTTTATTTTGTTTGATTTATGTCTAAAGACCAGTTATAGCCATGTCATTCATTGTGTTCCCGTTTCTGCTTAGCCGCCACATGTCCTGTTCAAAAGCGTTTTGCGGAGTTTATTCCCTTGATGTTGATGCTAAATTGAAAACTTACTTCCATTACAAGTCCACAACTGGTCTCTGCTACGAAGGTTTTTCTTTTCGTTTTTGGTTTTGCTTTCTTGAGATCGATTGGTAGTAGTTGTTGTACTCTTTTTTTTTTCAAATACTTTGAATTCATGTTGTATTGTGTTTAAAGATTTCTGGTTGTGTTTAGTTTTTTGTTTTTGAGTGTCAAAATATACAAGCAGAGAGGAGCAAACAAACACAGTAGAGCGCCACCTACCCATAGAAAATAGGTAAGCCGTCCTTGTCTGCTCACACATATAGATTGGTTTTATACTTTTTTAACAAAACTCCCTAAAGAGTTTTATCAAAAAAAAAAAAAATTACTTTTTCTTTGGTGGATTTTTTTTTTGGAAAAATATAAATAATTAATAATTTTTTTGGGCATACAAACATCCTTAAGGTGTTGTAGTTAAAGATTTGATTTGAGTGATTAGAAAGGTGAGTGAAAGTAAAGGGGGAAAGAAAGGTGGTGGTGGGGGTGGAGGTATAAGAAAGCAATTGCTTTTTTGGTTACATATACACATATACGGGATTACAAATGTTCACACATCATGATGATCATGAACACATCTGCTGGATTTTTTTTTTGGGATTAATGCTTAGAGATTATGGATAGGAATTTGAAAAGTTGTATGTTATTCATCATCTTCATTATGATTATTATAATCATCATCTTTGTTGTTAAGGCTTGGAGTGTTGTTAATGTCACACAATAATAAGCTGCTCCAAGCTGTATAGAAATTCCCTGAAAACGAGCACCTACCTCTCGGCGACGTTCTTCTTCACGTATTTGTTCACGCCTTCTTTCTAATTCTAACATCATTTCACGTTCCATTTCAGCTTTGGCTTCTTCGACGCGTCGCTTCACCTCCTGTTCGATTTCATCTCGTCGCTTTTCTAGCTCTTCTTCGACGCGTTTTTTCACAAGCATTTCAATGCGTTTGGAGGCTTCTTCTTCAATGATCTGAAAAAAAAGAAAAAAGCGAGGATTTTTAAAAGACTATTTTTTCAGGGGTTTACACAAGGCGTGGATTTTTTAAAGAATATTATTTTAAAGGGTCTAGACAAGGCGTGGATTTTTTAAAGAATATTATTTTAAAGGGTCTAGACAAGGCGTGGATTTTTTAAAGAATATTTTTTCAAGGTTCGGTCTACACAAGGCGTGGATTTTTTAAAGAATATTTTTTCAAGGTTCGGTCTACACAAGGCGTGGATTTTTTAAAGAATATTTTTTCAAGGTTCGGTCTACACAAGGCGTGGATTTTTTAAAGATTATTTTTCCAAGGTTCGGTCTACACAAGTCGTGGATTTTTTAAAGATTATTTTTTCAAGGTTCGGTCTACACAAGGCGAGGATTTTTTTTGGAAGTTTTTGGAGGCTTGAGAAAGCTGGGCAGTGATACAGGAAATGCTCGATGTCTTCTCCACACGCCCTACACCAGTTGCTTCCCTCGTATCCAATCTTGTGTAAGTATACCCTGGTGTAATTTCCTAAGTATTGGTTTGGGAAGCTTGTGAAGGCTGGGCAGTGGCACAGAAAATGTTCGCTGTCTTCTTCACACGATCTACACCAGTTGCTTCCCTCACATCGAATCTTGTGTAAGTGGACCCACAGGCTATTTTGTCATGTGAGAATACCGGTCAGTCTGCTGATTCCCATTTAGCTTAGTGTTAAGATTTGGGTCTTCCCATAAAATTGTTATGTTTATCCCAGTACCCTCGCTATTCCAAAGAATTTGGTGGGTTTCCGTTGCCCCTGACCTAGAACAACGTAGTCATTCCCAGATCTGCCTAGCAATTACACAGACATATTGAACTTTCTGAGGGAAATTCCTAGTTAAGGACTTATATTGTCCAACAGTTGCAATATTATCTCACCTTTTGCTCGGCTTCCTTTTGTCGTCTCTGTCTTTCCATTTCGGCCAAACGTTCCACCTAAATTTTTAAAAAAACATATTTCAATATTAATTTCTTATCGTGAATATTATTTTCATTTACTTACCTCATCTAATTTCTTATAACGACTTTTCTTGTGACGGCTGCTCCGATGACTGCTGCTGTGTGAATCACTGTCTGTGTATGAACTGCTGGATGATGTCGATGAGGAACGTTTTCGACTTGATCGATGATGATTGTGTTCACGCTCCCGGTCACGTTCCCTTTCACGGTCACGATTTTCTTTTTTACTACTGGACGAATAGTATAGCTCATCGCGATCACGATTTTCTTTTTTACTGCTAAAAGCGGAGAGGAGGAAAAACATGGAAGTTAGTTTCATAATATAAAAATAATTCAATGAACACATTGGAAAAATAAACATTGAAATCTGTTTGCCCTTAAGGCATTAAACGATTTAAGAGCAACGCACGAGATAAAAATGGAATATGAATTGCATCATGCTCATATCACCTAGATAAAGATATAGGTTTTCTGGAATGATTTAAGAGCTACGAACTAGATAAAAATGGAATCTGAATTGCATCACGCCTCAGGTCTCGGACCACCTAGATAAAGATCTAGGTTGCCTGGAATGTATTTCAATGGTCGTAATTTTCGATTTTTTTTTGCAATTTGGAATTATAGGAAAACATTCCCCCCCTCATTTCCAAACCGGAAAACAAATATTATAAAATATAATCAACTTCTTTTTAGCATGCCGTTCTAAACATATGCTTCTTCTTCCTGCCTACTATCGCAGTCTCCTCTTTGACATTTAATTTGTACTCTTGTGTTGTACACACACACCAACACCACACGTAATAAAATTAATGAAGAAAAAAATATCCACTTCCACATCGACGAGGTTCGTTGTCGTCAGCATTCTTCTCTTACCTATATTTGGATTTACTGCGTTTTTTATGTTTACTTTTATGATGTCTCCGTTTCGGCGATGGACTTCTGGATCGAGAACCCATTTTATTATTGTTTTCTAGTTATAATTAATTACTATTTATTGATATTTCTAAACACGATACAAAGCGAGCAGCGTTCCTTCCTTCACTCATTTGGAGATTTTTGCAAAAGGTGCGAGGGATCTATAGATCGTTTTGTGTCTAAACGACATTTGACAGGCAGATATATCAGTATAGGGAACTAATCGAAATAATCGATTAGTTTGTTATCTTTTGAGAAAACAAGGAGAATATTAACGGAGAATAAATTGTTTATTACAAATAAAAATAGAAATAAAACAAAAAAATGTTTATATTTAGTAATTATTATTCCCTGTATATGGTAGAAAGCTTGTTCATCTCAATAGAATGTCTAGAATTGTTTCTTCTCTTGTAATACATGTGTGTGAGTCACCCTTTGTTTATTGTAAGGTGATTCATAGTTTCTTCTAATATTTGATGTAGCCTGTTTTCGACATGAAGATGGCGCCAGTGCTTTATTGCTATATATTTCAAAGGTGGGTGTAGCAAGTATTTGATTTTAAAGTTGTATTTAATTTGAAAACTTGAACATATTATTAATAATTAAGATTTCTAGAGTAATATTTATTTTTAACTGATTCCCCGAGATTATATACAAGAACAACAGTAAAATAAAAGGCTTTTCTGACATTTATTGAAATAATTGCTGTCTTCATATGATATATTTGCTTTTATCGGTGTCCTTTTAAACGGACGTCGAATGAGTTGAAGCAAATATATCGACATCGAAATTATTCACCCTTTGGCGTATTTGTTTAAAAAGTTATGTTGATTCTTAAATGCATTTGTATGCATAAAAAATTCAATAGTAAATGTTTGTAGAATTGCTATTTGTTATAGGTTGGTGTCTTTGCTAACAAGAGCATAAATTTGTGGTGTGGATATTTTGTTACATGACGGTTTCCATAGATGGCGTTAATCACTTTAAAATGACAACTTTACATGATACATAAATCGTCTTGCAATAATTCAGAACATTGAAAATAATAAAGCTGGTCAACATTTGAGGCCGATATGGACATGTCTGTTGATCGGTGGTAATCATTATATATAGCTAACATGGAAATATTTGAGATTTTTATAACAATTCATTTCGTTTACCACATCACGAATTGTCTATATAGAAATCACAAGTGCTCGCTATATTTAAGATTTTTTTTTTTTTAATTTTTGGAAGTTATTTATATTAAAGGAGGCTTGTAACACATTCTCAATAGATAGTTTACGATTTGGAAACACTTCATATAAATTTACAGGAGCACACGATTCATACTAAACTTTGCAGAACCTAATATTTTTACCATGCCTGTATATTATGTGAGATGGGACTTATAGGCCTACTCCCTTTAGTACCTTCTTAAAAAAAAGGTTCAAAAAAAGCATGGGCAGATAAAGATGTACTGGAGTCAGAATGTCCGGAAATTTTACAACGAGTACAACACCAATCCTAAGGCTTTGGTACGAGCACATCCTCCTGTATAGATAAAGAAGAAGGAGCATGCACAAGCTGATTAGTACAATTTGGCTAGAGGAATACATGCCCAATGATCGGAACCTCAGCATCCTGTGTTTCGTGCACAAAAAAGAGACGAGATGATATGTACCAACTATAGAGGAATTAGTCTTCTTCCCATCGCATATGAAATAATATTCCACGTGCTGTGTGAACGACCAATGACAATCTTTGATCATACCAATGCGGCTTCAGACCTGGCAAATCCACTATAGACCAGATTTTCACACTGGGCCAAATCCTGGAAAATAACCACGAATAATAATTCGACACAATCCAGCTATTTGTCGAATATAAAGCTACATTTGACAGACCAATCCGTTCAGAGGTGTTTAAAGCCATGTCTGCGTTCGGCATTCCTGCAAAATGAATACGGCTAGGCAGGATAACTTTAACTGGCACAAGGTCAGCAAACGATGATTCAGAAAAAAATCAAAGGCCACCAGGACTGACTGAGGTCAGACCAGGACTGATATTTGTTATATAGAAACATATTCAGGTCACCTGGAATGATATTTTTCTTATAAGAAAAAATTGTCAGGCCACTAGGACTGATATTTTTTCTATAGAAAAAATTGTCAGGCCACCAGGACTGATATTTTTTCTATAGAAAAAATTGTCAGGCCACCAGGACTGATATTTTTTCTATAGAAAAAATTCTCAAGCCACAAGGACCTCGACTGATTTTTTCTATACTAAAAATTTTCAGGCAAGTAACTTGAAGTTAGAAAAAATTTAAATATTTTTAATATAGATATTAACATTGTGATTCTCTGTATATCGGGCCTCCAGGACTAATATTTTTCTAATGAAAAAATTCTTATGCCACTAGGACTGATATTATTGCTATAATAAAAAATGTTCAGACCACCAGGACTCACATTTTTTATGGGAAAAAATCAAAGGCCACCAGGACTGATATTTTCTTTGTTAAGCCTTTTCAATATAGACATGAGCATTATGATCCACTGTATACTATTCGATAGGCCATTTTGAAGTCTTACTTTTCACAAAAATTTCCCCGAAATTCAAAATATTTTGTTTTTTTTTTTTGGAAAGTAAAAGTTTCCAAGAATTTATTGCAATATTGTGCTGTCTGACATTCAATTGTCCAATGAAGTATGATATCAACCAATTACACTGACACCTATAACGATGTTTGGATATCAACTGTCAATATTCGAATTTGGTGTGCGAGTGGCGGGCTCATTAACTTGTTCCTATTTACCCCCTCTTAACTCTTTTTTTTCAAAATAAATGTTATCGAAGTGAGAGCACGCGTTTTGTGACAAATACTTAGAAATTGATCCCCAACAACAACAAATAAAAATCCTATGGATAAATACTTTTTTGAATGCCTATTACAAACTTGTTTGTACCCTGACAATTGAAATTCAAAGACAATCGATCAAAAATATTTATGAACAATTATTTACGCACCCGTGATATTGGTGGTGATGTTGGTGTTGTTGTTGTCGTTGGTTTTCTTGTAAGATAAAAATACAAATCCTCAATAATAAAAAAAACAATGCGACGCAGAAACAGCAGGAGCTGATATCAATTTGAACGGATTTTTGATACAAAAAAAGTGAACAGTGGCTGCTGGTTGTTGTTGGTCAGTTGTTGTGATTCGGTTTGGTCTGGTCTGGTCGGGTGTCGCTCACAACCTTTTGACAAACACTTACAATTTCCATTACACAATTTAACCCGGATTTGTGACAAAGACGACAGTTAAGTTAAAAAAAATTGCTGTCTGTGCTTGGAGATCATATCGATAACATGTCAAACGATTAGCTGGAATTAGCCCGAGACCACACGGAGGTTTCTGTTTTTTGGTGGTAGGAAATAAAGTCACACATAGTTGTTGGGAAGATGATTAATTAGATCAAAATAATTAAATGCCAAAGAAAGACATTTAGACAGACAGACAAGCGGGCATTTCAAATCTCTTTTTTGCCCCGCATACGTCCAAGGAATTCATTTAGAAAGCCAAACCCACTAATTATGTGCCAGCTATTTCGAATAACTTAATCGAATATTGAACGTAATGACCAGCAATGTTATTGAGGTGTTATTTTTACACCAAATCTTGGCTAGTTTTTTTTATTTTGGCAAAAATTATTATTTATCGTTTATGATCGTTTCGATGGTGGATACTTGTGGTCTGGTCTGTCCGACTCTCCCGAGTCATGAAATGAAGTGAAGGAAAAACACATTTATCCATTAAGAGGTCTTGCTGTGTTAGACATTTTGGAGCTTTAGCTGTGATTATTATTATTTCTTCATTTTTTATTTCCATTTTTTTTTTGGTCGAAGTTTGTATCCAATAATTATTGCTGCAACTCAAAGCGAGGTCGTTTGGTTATTCGTAATTTTTTTGGTGCGTCAGCAGCGGTGTCGGCTTATTGTTTTTGATCCAATTGAAGTGACTGGGCAAATGATGACGACGCAAAATCGCCCAACACTTAGAAATGTAAGAAAAAAATACCAGCAAACCAAATGAATCGGGAAAAAATTATACCCATACATACTCACACACCTCGGGATTATTATCTCCTTCAACGGCAAAATCGCCAATAATACTCGCCGATAATGTGTAAGTAAATGTATATGCAAGAGATGTGGCCCTCTACACAGGGCTGGAGAATAATATGCAGGGAAGGCCTTCTTAGGCCACACTAGGAATGATGTTTTTCCCATTGAAAAAATGTCAGGTCATAAGGACTGATATTTTTTCTATAGAAAAATTCCCAGTTCACCAAGGCTGATATATTTTCTATAGAAAAAAATCTCAGATCGCCAAGACTAAATTTTTTTTCTGAGAAAAAAATCTCAGACTAGCAGTACTGATATTTTTTTCAAAAGAAAAAAATCTCTGACCATCCGAACTGATATTTTTTCTATAGAAACAATTTTCACGCCAACATGACTGATACTTTTTTCCATAGAAAAAAAAATTCTCAGGGCACCAGGACTGATATTTTTACTATAGAAAAAATGCAGATAAACAGGACTGATATATTTATCAATAAATATTCTTAGGCAAAAAGGAAGGATTTTTTTCTATAGAAAAAATCTCAGGCCAACATAACTGATATGTTTTATACAGAAAATATTCTAAGGCAAACAGGACTGATATTTTTCCTATAGCAAAAACATCTTTGGCCATTCTCAGGTCAGCAGGACTGCTAGTTTTTCTATAGAAAAAATCTCAGGCCAATAGGACTCATATTTTTTCTATAGAAAAAAATTCGGACCTTTGGTACTGATATTTTTCCGATAGAAACATTTCTCAGGCCAACAGGATTGATATTTTTTCTATAGAAAAATTCTCAGGCCAACTGGACTGATATTTTTTCTATAGAAAAATTCTCAGGCAAACAGGACCTATATTTTTCTGTAGAGAAAATATTTAGGCCAACAGGACTGATATTTTTTTATAGAAAAAAATCTTAGACCGAAAGGTATGATATTTTT